TTGGCTCTGAAGTAAAAGAATGCTTTGGTAAACTTTTCTTTAAGATGCAAGTAATATATTCATAGCAAATAATTAAAACAATAGTTTTGACATATTAGTTATAAATTTTTAAACGGAAGAACTTTTATCTATGCGCAAACCTTTTTTTTTTATTGCAAAAATAAATACTTTTTTTGTTGTTTATGTGATGTTTGTTTAGAAAACATTTGACCAAAAAAATTTGTTAGAAAATCATTACAACTGAGTTTTTTAGAGTATTATCAATGTAAAAATCAGTTGTTTGCTAAAAAAGAAATTTTAATTTAAAGTTTTTCCACACTGATTACATAAAATAAATTGTTTCTATTTCAAGTTTAGTGTTTTCATTACACGTTTTTATTTAGTTCCAAGTTACTATTTATGTGAATTTCAAATTCCACAAATATTGTGTATTACTAGATAGTTTCAAAATAATGGTTTTCTTTATCCCATTACCAAAGTGCTTATGAATGCATAGAAAACATTACCAGACCAAACATAAAAGTTTTTTTAAGCAACATCAAGAAATAGAAAATGCTTTTATTGTCGGATTAGGTATTAAGCATTGGATTTTTTGATTTTGTACGCAGCATTTTTAGGTGTTTGATACAGCAAGTTAAATGCTGTTGTCGTGCCGCTAAAATTTTCAAATAATAGAATAATGATAACAATAATATAAGTAACATTTAATAGCAATAGTAAACTTTTGCTGTGCTTGCAAACCAGTGAGTGTGCTTTTATGCAAACTTTGACAGCTGTTATGCTTGACTGCTCCTCACAAACAATCAAGAACAATTTTTAAATTATAAACCAATTGTGCTGTTATAATATCATTTGAAAACGAGTTCGACAGATTTGCAATTCTATTAGAAAAGAAATGTTCTGTTGATGGAAGTGTGGCAAATTCTTTGTAGTATATAAAACCTCTCAAGTTACCTCTCAATTTGTTATTTACAAATGAAAAACTTTTGTTGATTCTTTACTTTTCAATTTTATGAACAAATTTATATAATTGAATCAAATCACCAAAGTTTTTTCTTCTTACATTGATATAGTGGTAAAGTCTAAAGAAACAAGTCGATCTTTACATGAACGGTTACTTACTAAAAATACAAGTTTATTTGCTCTATGTTGGCATTCTTTCGCTAGCATCACAATCTTCTTTCAGATACAGAGACCAAAATAGAATGACAAACGCTAAAAGGGGACGAATGAATGTAAAAGTTTATGGTCAAATCTCGCAAATGATTTTTTTACACAACCTAGCGTCTGATTTGCTTCACTAATTGCCATGTTGACTTGATCCTTCCATTAAAGATTTGTATTAAAAAAATAACTAAGATCTCTTTCTGATTCCAACAGTTAAACAACACTAATAAAAACAACACTCTTTTAGTTACTTAAACAATAAATTTTGACAACACATTTATTTATGTTAAATCTAAATAGCCAATCTTCGGTCCATTTAAAGGCACTATCTAAGTCATTTTGATTTTATTTTACATGTATATAAATACATTAATTATACATTTGATAATATTAAATTTAGCTGCTCAATTTATACATTACAAACTTTTTTAGCTTTTTGGACACAATGGAGCACTTGGTCAAACTGTAACGACTCCTTTGGATTTATGAACAGGACAAGAGCTTGTAATGCTTCCAATGCTATGGAGTGGTGTCTTGGTAACAACTTAGAACTGGTAGAGTGCTTTGGTAAAATTTTATCTGTTATTTATGTAATTTAAGTCAAGTTACTTCATTATTTTTGTTCTAGTAACCTTGAATCCTATTATTCTTTGTCAATTTGTTCTTAATCTTTAGTGGATTTTTATTAATACAGTTTAATAAAACAGTTATTATACAGATCTAGGTAGTGATTAAAGTGATGAACTCTTAATTCAAGGTTTGTGAGTTTAAACCCCACTAGAAATACATAAACAATATTAAATAAGTTAAAAATGGGGAACCATTTTCACATGTTAATTTCCATGATGTAGTGCTGTGTGATAAAATTTTCTTAGAGCTTCCTTAAAAACTATTTGTGAAATTTTTAGTAATTTCAAATGCATTAAAGGACCAAAACTTTTTTGAACAAAAATCAGGAATTTCTTGAAAATTACACATATAACTTTATGTGTAATTTTCAAGAATTTATAAATATTTGTTTAACTAATGTTTAATTGTTTTAATTTACTGTTGAATTCATTTTATTGATCATTAATCCATTAAGTGCATAAATCAATATACACTTTTATATTCAACAATAAATATTTTACTTACATTAAGTATAAGTGAGAGTTGTGGTATAATTGTAAGTTTGACCATGTGTAGGTAAAAAACAGTTTATTATTAAACTTTATTAACTAGAAGAACTACAAGTAAAAATCAAACTTAAAATAAATTATCTAATTTTGATTAAATATCTCAAATTGCTTAACTTGTTTTTCTAGTTTTTTGGACTCAATGGAACGATTGGTCAAGCTGCAATGGTTCATATGGATTTACTAACAGAACGAGGGGGTGTAATGCTTCAAATCATATAGATAAATGTTTTGGCAAAACTTGTGAAGTAATGGAATGCTTTGGTAATAAATTTAATCTAAACTTACATTAAAAAGTACGTTTCAAGTTTTAATAAGTTAAATTTTTTTGAATTTGATTTTTGAGTCATATATTATAACAGATACGTAAATTAATAGACTCAGTGTTCTCTAGCGTGATTATTTTGCAGAAATAATAGAATATTCAGATCCAAAAAAAACTTGTGAAATGTATTATGCTGAATGTAATTACCATTCTGAAGATCATAAATTCCTGTAAATGTATATAAAGGTAGAAAGTTGTCAAGGATTTTTTTTTTGTGTGTTTACATTAAATGTTTAGAGGATAATGAAGTTTTTGCTCCAACTCTTTTGCTTTTAAAAAGACAACCAAAAACTTACAACAAGTATCCTATTGTTTTTACATTGGTATTTGATACATAATGTCTTGGTGTGTTTTTTTCTACATTAGGACTGTTTTATTATTTTTTTGCGCTATGTATTTTAGATAGAATTAGTTTTGTAGATGAATAGAGTAATTAGTAGAGTTTTTCAAATAAATCTGTTTTTAAGTAATTGAAGAATCACACCATTTATATAAGTAATGATTTACTTATTTTCTTAAAAAATTTTTTTGCGGTTTGTTTATTGTCTCAATTTTTGGACTCAATTGAGTAATTGGACTATATGTAACAGCTCTAATGAACTTATGAACAGAACAAGAATGTGTCTTGTTTCAATTATCAATATTTAGTGTGATAATAAAAAATCAGAAGTAACAAAATGTTTTGTTAGAAAACTATATTTAAATTTTATTTTTAAATTGGTTTATAAAACAATTCATAATAAAATATGTCAGTAACATTTTAAAATGTTATTACACGGTTGATGCAAATGGAAGTGCAAAATTATGTGAAATGTTAGATTTTTTGTTTGCCTATTTTTGCGTAACTGCAATGAAGGTATTAAAAAGAACTATTTTTATTATAATACACTCAAGGTAATGGCAAGCAATCGATATGGCCCAAATTTAGATTTTTATGCTACTTAATAAAATAGAAAAACTTTGTTAATTGTACTGGTAATTTTTCTAATAATGCAAAAAAGAATTTTTATCTTTTAAAAATCACAAAAATTTCAAGTAATGTAATGTCTTTTATTAAATTGGTTTAATTTTAGTTACAAAATGTTATGCTTTTTGTTAGACTGAAAAATTCAATCACGATATTTTTGAGAAAGACTTAGATAAATAACAGATATTAGATTAAAGAAATGACAAGATATATTAATTTGGTTAGCAGTCAAATACTTTGCTAATACATATATATAATAATTTCTTCAATAACTTGGAATACAAAATGTTATTGTGGTTAGAAAAGTTTCTTAGAGTGCTCTTGATAATGAAAAGGTGCCGAAACAAAGAAAATATATATAAATATAAATTGAACAATAGTTATTAACAAAATCTAAAACTTTTCGTACATTTTTTTTGGAACAAAAATTAAAATTTAATTTATTTTAACTTTTTTTATTTTTTAAAAGTTGTTTCAACTTTATATATTGTTCAATTTTATATACTGCAATATGTCATTATCTGTCATTTTGATCGATAACTTGATAGTCTGTTAAGATAGCAAATGCAATGGCAGATATTGCAATGCCACTAACTTTGAACCTAATAGCAGCTTTGACAATGTTATGTATTTTTTGCACACAGTTATTTTGCAACTCATGATTCTGATTTTTATAATCATCATTGATATGCATTTTCACATCATAAGTTTCACTGATAAAATCCTTATCTGAATGGAGTATTATTTTACTTGTTATATTAATTTTTTCTTTACTTATTTTTCTTGCAATCTTGACTGTCTCTTTCTTATCAATTTAGCCAGATGTCTGGTCCGTACTTAACTTTCTGATCCTTTAAATACTCTTGATCTAGATTTTGAACCTCAAAGAAAGTGTTTAAAAAAATAAGAATTTTAAAAAAACATCAACCAAGGAATCAACCAATGTCTAAGAAGCTCTACTAAAGAACGTGATTTAGGAGTCATTTTTACATCTAACCTCAAGTGGAGCGCTCATATTCAAACAGTTGTCTCTAAATCCTTAAAAATTCTTGGTATGCTGAAAAAGATATTCACTTTCATTGATGAAAAAATGGCTCTCAAATTATATAAAGTATTTATAAGACCACATCTTGAATATGGAGTGTCCATTTGGGCTCCTTAATTAAAAGCTGATATGGCTTTGGTTGAATCTGTTCAACGCAAAGCAACAAAATGGGGTTACAGCTTGAGGCATCTTCAATACTGCAAAAGGCTAAAAAGATTAAATCTAACATCACTTGAGTTTCGACGCCTTCGATGCGATTTAATCCAAATTTTTAAATGAATACATCTTTTTGATATAGTTAATGATAAATATCTACCAAAATATATTAACTCCATGTCTCCATGTCTCTTATTTTAGAATGTTCACCATTTTAAAATAAGGCGTGAGTATGTTCCAAACTGTCTTCCAAGATATAATCATCTGTATAATAGATCAGCAAAATACTGGAACGAACTACCAGAGCAAATAACTTTGTACTCCACTGTATTTTCCTTCAAAAATAGACTAGACTCCTGGTTTTGGAACAAGTTTGGAACAAATATTCATAAAACTGGTTGTTTATAGTGGGGTGTTTTCCCTGCTCGCTGTATGTGTACATTCTATGTAAATTTACGGCTACAACTATAATAATAATAATTAAAATAAAAAAATGTTAAAAAAAATATTTAAATTCAGTGTAAAAAAGTTTTTTTATGAACTTTTTATATAAGATAATATCATGTGAAAATACCCTAAAATGCAGATTATATGGCTAATATGAATACTTTAATGTATTTGATTTTTTATGATATTTAATATAATAAAAATTGAAAAGAGTATTATTTTCTAAATTTTGGACTTGTTGTTGTTATACAAATTTATATCGCGGTAGTAACATTTTATTAGATGCTCTGTTCTATTTTGCAATATTGAAATTTAGCCATAAAAAAGTGATTTGTTTTGTTTTTTCATAAAAAAATGACATAGTTTTGAAATTTTTTTAATTGAAATTAAATATTTGAATATTGCCTAAGTGAGTCAAGTCTTGACTTTAACTTGGTAGTGGCTTATTATATATAGTTAAAATTTGATTTTTTATCAAAGACCAAAAGTTTTAAGGTTTCCTCATTAAATATATTAAAATATTGTCAGATTAAGCATTAAAGCATTTTGGAAAGTATTTTCAATATAAGTAACTTTTACATAGTTAGTTAACAGCTCTTGTAAAATCCCTAAAATTTTCCAGTAATATTAATATATCTAATATGTGAAAACATAAAATAGTTTAAGCTTGATAATAATTTAACAGCCTATAGAGTATTCTCAGTTTTTATAATATCCTAAATAAATTTTAATATAGTTTAATTTATTAAGCTTTTCGAATTCTTATGATTCAAAATAGGGAGCTTCATCACTACATTCTAATCCCCATGGCCAGTGTTCTAATTGCCATGGACAGTGATTAGAGTTTCTTTATAACAAAACTATAAAAGGCCATGAAATCTCAAGTAGTTTAAAGAGTAATAACCTTTAAAATTATTTTAAATTAAAAACATATCTTTTTTTTGAAAATTATGCATAAAACATAAACTTATAAGTATAATTTCTATTTATCTAAAATGATATGTTTTAAAACACTATTGAAATCAGTTTGTTGATCAGTTATCCATTTAGTGCATAAATCATGTATTTTATATACATCATTAAATATATAATTTACTTTAGGTGTAAGTGAAAGCAGTTGTTAAATAGTAAGTTTGAGTGTGTGTTGTTAATAAAAACGTTTTGCATTTTATTCTTAGGTTTGGTATTATACTTAGGTTTAGTATCTTAGGTTTTCTCAAATAAAAAAAGAAATCAACTGAAAAAATCATTAATCAAAAATCAAAAAAGTTAAAATGTTGTTATTTAATAATTTCAAATTGTTTAAATTATTATTCTAGCTATTTTGACCCAATGAAAAAAATGGTTAAACTGCAATAGTTTATATGGATTTACTAACAGAACAAGGAAATTTAATACAAAATCATATAGATAATTGTTTAGGTTACACTTTTACAGTAATAAAATGCTTTGCTAATAAATCTAGTGTAAACTAAAATCGAATAAAAACTTTAATAAAAGTTTTACTTATCTGAAGTTAAAATGTATTATCTGGCTTAATTATTTGCAAAATAGAAAATATCTAATTACAAATAAAAACTTGCATAATGTTTCATATTAAATTTATTTACAGTTCAAAAGTGCATGAATTTCTGCAAATGCATCTAAAGATAGAAAGTTGTAAAGCTATTGCTTTTATCTTTAACAAATTTTTTTCACTGTAAAGTTGAATTAAGTGGGTCTGTGTTTTCTAACTTTTTTGTTTGTTTGTTTGTTTTGAATTTATAATCCATGATTAACTAAAAATATATATTTTTTTTATAGAAACTGTTTTAGATTTTTTTTTTAATATTTAATAACATATGTTCACAGGATAATAGGTTTTATCGTTTTGGTTTTAAAAAACCTCCAGAAAGTTACTTTATATATTGCTTTAAGGATCATATTTTTTCACAAACTGTTTTATTTTATTGTTTCTTCTTTAGATTCTCCATTTTAACATAGCCATGATAACAGATAACCTGGTCAGTTTGGCTGTTGTTGCTAGGTTCTATTGTTTTTAAACAATCAAAGTTAAAATATTGAACTTATGTTAAAAATTGTTCATTTATCGTGGCCAGACTGCCGATAAGTGCACAATATTCTTAAAATTTGCAAACTTAACAGATGAACAAATATCTATTTTTTAATATTAGTTCTAGAATTTTTTTTTTCCTGAAAACAGTAACCCAGGAAACACAAAACGCTCAAAGAACGTTCGAAGAACGTTGCGAATTTCGAGCGCGTTCTATGAATGTTCATAGAGCGTTCTTTAACGTTCACAACGTTCGTTGAACGTATGTGTT